CACAAGTGCTGTGTGTCAGGAATCCAGGAGCAGGTTAGCTGGGTATCTCTGGCTCATAAGGTGGCAGCCAAGCTGTTGTCCCAGGCTGCAGCCTCATCAAGGTGCCCTTAGGGTGGAATCTGCTTTGAAGCTCATTCACCTGGAGGCCTCAGTTCCTCCTCAGGCGGACTTCTCCATTGGCTGCCTGAATGTCCTCAAAACATGGCAAGTGAGTGAGCGATTGCACTGAGGGAGTGATTGAGGAGAGGGAGTGTGCACCTAAATTATGTTTATTACAAGGATCGACCCTGGTACCACAGGGAGGGAGAGACTCTACACTGGGGTGTGAATATCAGGAGGTGGGGATCATTGGGGGCCATCTTCAAGGCTGACCACTACAGTGGCCTCATTATTCCTCCAAATGCCCCCCCCCCAACTTTTTCCTCTGGGTTTCAACTGTAATTCAGCACTAGAAGGCACCTCCATCTTCTCTGAATGGCACTTGAGAGACAAACAAGAAATGGATGTGAGGCCGCAGTGGGGCAGGGCCTGCAGGTTTGAGAAGGAGAGGGTTTTATTCCGTCACTTGACAACTGTCACGGCTTCTCCAGGGACAGGCTCCTGGAGAGTTGGCAGTCAGTGGCACTTCCAGAGATGAAGGAGATTCTCTCCCCCTTCTTCCCCTCCCTGCAGCAAGAGCCCTGCCTCTCTGACTGACAGTGACAGATTATCTGATCACAACATGGACCCAGGACCGCACTGTGATTGGCCGGTCAGAACCATCTTGGGGTCGGAGAATTCTTGTCCCAGAGAAACAATTATAAGGTGTTTTAAGAACAGTGAGCTGATGCTACTCACAACTGGCAGTTCTTGTTTATGAGAAGTAATAATTTGCCTCAGGTATAGAGGAAAGGCAGGGAAGGCTCAGTGAGTTTATTTTGAGGGGATGCTCTGTGCACAGGGTCGGGCTCTGGACAAAAAAGGGGTGAGTGTAAGCAATTGGGCTAGGGGGTCTCTGACTCCATTTGGAGCTGGGGGAGCATCATGGGTGGCCCCAAGCCACAGTTTGTCTCCTTCTGTGCCCCTGGGAGTGCCTTCTGCTACCCAAATCGTCAGAAGTGGGGTGACTTGTGATTGTGGAAAGGCGCAGGTGTTCTGAGCAGATTAATCCAAAGTAGCGGGTGTCCTGCATTTGAACTAGCCCCTGTGAGGGGCCAGGGGGCCCCCGTACGAGATGTTTGTGCGATGGCATGCAGTGCCCACAGCCTTCAGGTAGACTCTTGCTACTCAGTGTGTGGTCCTTGGGCTTACAGCATCAGCATCACCTGGGAGCGTGTGAGAAATGCAGAGTCTCTGGCCCTGCCCAGGCCCTACTGAACCAGAATCTGCATTTTGACAAGATGATTCATGTGCACAACAAAGTCCAAGAGCCCTTCTCTGAACAAGGTGAAAGCCAGAGGGGTGACCCTTTGACTTCCTCCTCCTAGATGGAGGTTCCCAACCTTGGCAGCACCTTTGAATTCCCTGGGGAGCTTTTTTAAATTTTTTTTATTATGTTCAGTTAGCCACTGTGTAGTACATCATTAGGTTTTGATACAGTGTTCAGTGATTCATTAGTTGTGAATAACACGTGCCCTCCTTAATATCTGTCACCCGGCTACCCCATCCCCCAAGCCCCCTCCCCTCTGAAACCCCTGGGTTTGTTTCTCCCTGGGGAGCTTTTAAAAAATCCCTCTGCCATGGACATCCCCCCAAACTTTTGAAGTCAGGATCTGAAGTCAAGGCTGGATGCAGGTACCAGAATGCCCCACAGCTGCCCAGATGATTCCAGTGGGCAGCCGGGCTGGTAGCACTGCCCTAGACTGGGCATGTCCTCGGGAGCCCAGGCACGTGATGGTCCAGTGAGCCTTCTGGTCCAGGAGAGGATGGAGAGTGTCTCACCTGTCCTTGTGGGAGCCATGGGAGCATGTCTGGGTCTCCCTCCTGTCCTCTTTCTCACTCTTTGTAATGTCTGTGGGAACCTTCTCTGGAGAAATCCACTTCCCCCCAGGATGTTATTCTTGCCTGGCTAACCACACTTGCTCTGCTCAAAGGAAAGAGGCAGGGGTATCAACAGGGTGTTTCAGCTTCAAGCAGAAGAAACCTACGCTGGTAAACTTAAAGAGGGAATGATTTGGAAGCGAGAGGAATAATAATGACAACCGCCTACTTTTGTTGAGGGTTTACTATGCACCCGGCATCATCCTAAACCCTGAAGGTATTCTAACTCTTTCAAGTCTCCAACAACTGTATGGAATCCGTATTATTATTATTATCATCATCATCATTCCCAGTTTATCAGGGAGGAAACTGAGTCCCAGTAGAGTTTGCATGATTTTTCTATAGTTACGTAACTAGAGACAAACCTGGGATTGAAACCGTTACTCTGGTTCCACAGCATTTACAAGTTGTAGTGCGTCCCTCAGCGGTATGAAACATGCCTCTTCCAGATTAAGCACGTACGCCATGTCTTTATGACACTAACCCAATACGTCATTCCAACACTTTGATTCCCTGGCGTCCAGTAATGCGATTCAGTTCTCATACGAGCTGCCAGTAGTTAGCAATGACCCCACAGGTTAATGTCCCCACTTCAACCACAGAGTCCCCAGGTTACCTGCACTTCTGACTGGCCAACTATAAATTCAGGAGTTCCCATGACCTCCACACCCCCTTCCCCACCACCTTTAGGTCCAGTCATTTCCTAGAAGGACTCAAAGAACGCAGCAAAGTGCTATCCTGACTCTTATAACTTATCATAAAGGATACAGATGAACAGCCAGATGAAGAGGGATATAGGGCAAGGTCTGGGGGGTCCTGAGTGCAGGAGCCTCTGTTCCTGTGAAAATGGAGCATGCCGCCCTTCTGGCATGCGGGTGTGTTCACCAACTGGGAAGTCCCCCAAACCCTATTGTTTAGGGTTTTTTCCAATCAAGATTCCACGACATGGGCATGATTGGCCGTTGGTGATTGAATTCAATCACCAACTCCCTCCTCTTCCTGGAGGTCAGGGGTGGGGCTGAAAGTTTCAACTCTAATTAGGTGCTCAGTCTTTCTGGAGACCATCGCTCACCATGAAGCTATCTAGGGGCCCCACCATGAGTCACCTCATTAGCATAAATTCAGATATGGTTATAGGGGCTTGTTATGAATAACAAAAGACACTCCCACCACTCAGGGAATTCCAAGGGTTTTAGGAGCTCTGTGCCAGGAAGCAGGACAAAGATCAATAGATTCTTTTCACAATACCACAGCATGAGAGGTGGAGACAAGACACTGGGAGGGTCAGGGGTTCCAGGTAGTAGGGGTTTATCATCTCCCTCATCATGATACTGGGAGCAGAGAACCCAACTGTTCTCATCCTTTTTACCTCTCTGCTTGAGATTCAGATTCCAGGATGGAACACGGGTCCTTCCTTTTGCTCTCCTTTTGTTGACTGCAGTCATGACCAATGGCCTTCACTGGGGAGAAAAGGAAATGGGAATGCCAAAGGGGCAGCATGAGGGTGACAGAACTGTTCTATGGCTTCATTATGGTGCTGGACACCCAAAGAACCGTACACCACCAAGAGTAAATTTTACTGTATGCAAACTAAAAAAAAAGTTAAAAGCCTCAAAATTGTAAATGGTCACCGCTGTAAAAAGGGGATGTTGGAATGAATGCCAGGCAGTCAAAAAGCTGATGAACGTTGGTTACAGACGGAGCCCCTTTGTTATACATGGGTTTGTGTTTCTCTGGTGATTTTCAACAAGGATGTGGGGTTTCTATTAGATTTTACATTGCCCCCCTCCTTCAATTTTTACTAGGTTGTTGCTTGCTATGTCAGGGTGTTTTTAAAAAATTTTTTTTATTAATATATAATGTATTATTTGTTTCAGGGGTACAGGTCTGTTATTCATCAGTCTTACACAATTCACAGCGCTCACCGTAGCACATACCCTCTCCAGTGTCCATCACCCAGCCACCCCATCCCTCCCACCCCCTCTACTCCAGCAACCCTCAGTTTGTTTCCTGAGATTAAG